AGTGTGATGGGATTTTTGATCTGTTAGAGTTTTTAAAAATAAAAATAAAACGAAAGAAGAAATAATGAAGTCTATAGTTATCAAAGGAGTATCAACATTACTAATCGTGTGAAAAAAACATTAAAATATTCTTAATTTTATAATTTTTCCTAAATAATTGAAGGATGTAATGGTCCAATTGAAAGTGGAGATACAAAACGATTAGAAAAAGAATTATTCTCTTTATATATTTGTATAGTTAATACATTAGTTGGTTAAACTATTCTTATTAACAATTACACTTACCGTTACATTGTGTTTGACTATGAGGAGAGAAATGAATGAGAAATAGGGTTGAGAGAAATAAAAGAAAGAGAAATAAGTGAATATAAATTGGTAGTAAGTATGGTGAAAATTAGTTTGTTTGATTTAAGAGAAATATGTAAGAAATAGAAGAGAAATAATATTATAGAATTAATGTTTGATTTAAATGAATAGAGAGAAAAAAATTATAATTAAAAAAATTATAATTTTACCTTTTCAAGTTAACTATATAGTATCCAACAATTTTTCTTTTCTTTTATTTGATTAAATTAAATTTTCATTCGAATAAATCAAATTTATTTGGTTGTAATAAAATAATATGCATGTTATTCAATTACAATCAAATAAATTAATGTAATAAAATAGCATCATGCTATTCAAATACAACCAAATAAATATGTCATTGGAATGTTATTTATTCAAATAAACTTTCAACTTATTCGAATGAAATCTTCCGATAATCAAATACAAAAATTATTGTAATCGAATAAAATTACTTTATTATAAAGTGAAACATCAATTTATTCGAATAAAAATTCCTTTATTCATCAACTTTTCTATTCGAATAAAATGTTATTCTATTTGAATAACATGTTATTTCATTCCAATACAACAACTATTAGAATGATAAAATGAGTGTATTCAAATACACTTTCAACAGCTACACACCTCTGTAATCAACGGTCATAATCAATTAAGCAAATGCTTTAATAGATTATGGTGTCCTATATCCACCGATTTTGAACCCAAATCAAACCAAAAACCTAACCCAACTCTCATTAGTGTAAAAAAAAAATCACATGAAACCATAAAAAAAAATAACAAAAAAAATAACAAATTTGAAATCTGTCAACCCTAATACAATACCATGAATAACCAAAATGGTCAGAAAAGATATTATCAGAATCTTACCAAGTAGAAACGAGACGTGTGGGCAAGGCACAGGGTGATTAGGCAACTGGTTGGGGTAGACCACAACCTAGCTTCATTCAGGACAACTTTTTAGTACATCATACTTATTCCAATGAGAGAAGTTTTCAAGAAGCGTATTTTCTCACATTCTATCTTTCCTATTCCTTTTTAGTTTTGCAAGGAAAATTTAAGTATGTGGGATCCACCTCTATTAATTTGCTTCATGACAAAAATGTGCTTAACCAAATGATACATGTTATTTCTCTATACCTATTTCTACTCCTTCGTCCCTATTTCTTTGGTATTTCTTACCAACTAAACACAATGTTAGTAATGTTTGTTTTTGTTAAGTCAAAGATAATTGGTGCTTTAGCCTTTAGGACTCTTAATATACATTATTTTATCTCTTTATTATAACATTATCTAAACCACCCACTTTTGTCCTTGAATTTGGAAGGCTCTGCCATATTTGTCCTTAAAATTAAGAAATTATCAAATAAATTCTTAGGATATCAAATAAGTCTTTAAATTTAATTTTGATTATCATTATAGTCTTTGAATATATATTAATATTATCACTTTAATTATTATTTTTCTTAAAAAAAATTGAACTAATATGATTATACTTTCACTTTTAAAAATTTATTTGATAATTTATTATTTTTTAAAGATTAATATTATGATAGCATCCTTTAAATTCAGAAATTAAAATAAGTGATTACTCTATGTTTATATAGGCAACTACATATCTCTTATCTAAATTATCCCCAAGACTAACATATTCTCATTCTGGAAGGAACACCCTTTTAACTCTTTCGTGTTAATCTAACACATTTTTAATCTTATCCTACTAGTTAATTTACAGCATAAGAATAATATAAAACACAAAAATTTTAATAATATGAGCCTAATGTATAATGATTACGTTTACTTCGAAGAGCACCAAATGTAATCATCGTTATTGTCAGACATAGAACAAGTCGTAGCATAGGTTATGCCCCCTAATGGGACGGGATTGTGACACGTGGACGTTCAAGATTTCACACTCTCTCGTCAACTTCTTATAAATTGGGGTCACGCTTCGTTGTAACTCATTGCGGTGATTGTAGCAAACTAAAGTACGAATACCAACAATCGTTTCTTTGTTCTTATTTTGAGATTTTGAGAATGTCTAGCTGTGGGTGTGGAAACAGCTGCAGCTGTGGCAGCGACTGCAAGTATGGAATCGCATTTTATTTTGGGTTCTTTTACTAATATGCTTGATTAGCTTTTGAATTTTTTTTTTTTAAATTTATGTTTCAATATAAACTTTGTGTGTTAAAACTTAAAATCCTGTACGCTTTATTTCATCTTTCACTAAGTTAACATACTGGTTGTTGGAAATTAATTTAGATATGAATTTAAATATCTGTTAGTCGTGCTTGTTCAAGTGGGATTTTGGCTTTTTCTTTTCTCAAAAAATTAAATTTTTAGTGCTCTTTAAATGAGTTTAATGATATTGGATGCTTTATTAAGTTTCCTTGTTTAAGGTCTGAGATGATTTTTTTTCCTTGTGTTCTATATCTTTCTCATGGACTTGCACCGAAAATTATGGGATAGTCCTCCTATGATTTTATTGAAAAATTTTAAAAAGGTTAGTGACCTATCATAATTTTTCATGAGGATTGTGTTATTAAGAAAGTGGGATTAAAGTTTAGCTCAATTTTAAAAATCATATTATTAAGAAAGTTGATTGAAGTTTAATTTAATTTTAAAAATTTGATTCGTAAGATAAATTTTTTTTTTTTATTTACATATATTATTATGATCTTATCTCCAAGATATATAATAGGTGTCTTTTCTATCTAAATTATTTTGCACAAAGAAAAAATAGATTTTATGAAATTGTAATATGCTTTTATAATTATTTCTCGTTCCAATTTTTTTTTTTTTTTTTTCTGAGTGTTTTCATCGGCTCTGCGGGTACCCTTAATGTTGAAGTTTATGAAAGGATTCAATGCTTTATTCTTCTTTCAACATCTCTCTCATTTTTATTTTACTAAATTTTAATTATTTTCCTAGTTGTTTTGACGATGGAACCTTATATTTTGTTGATTTTTGTTGTGGAGCAGGTGTGGTAAGTACTCTATTGACTTAAGCTACCTCGAGACAACAACCTCGGAGACTCTAGTTCTGGGTGTTGGTCCCATGAAGACCCAATTCGAAGGTGGTGAAGTGAGTGTTGCAGCTGAGAGTGGCTGCAAGTGTGGCTCAAGCTGCACTTGCGACCCATGCAGCTGCAAATGAGGTGAATATATGGAAGCTCCATGCAGAGATATAGCTGTAGTATATGGTCACACTTATATTATAATAACAAGTGTATGCTTTGTCTTTTGTTCAACCATCATGGTTTGGAGTTTTAGAATAAAGTGATCATGGCTATGGCCTTTGCAAATTCGAATGTTCTAGTTGCGGGTGTTTTAAGCTATATGGTTTCTTTGTGATTGGTTGGTCTTATATACAAATGTAATTTGAATCATCCATCTCTGCTTATATATGGAGTACTATCCATGTTATATGAATAAAGGTTTGTTGAGTTGCTTCATCAAGTAGGGCTTAGTGGCAATAATGCTACATAATTAAATATATTATCACGGTTCAAAAGATTGCCTGGGAAAACCTTTTTTAATCTTAAATTAATAAATTTCCTTTTTACTTTATTATATAAAATTTTTTAGAATAACTTTATTCATCGATTGAGATAATATATACAAAATCTTAATATAATTACTACTACATTTTAATTCTTTAACAACATTTTTTTTACATTTGTTAAAATGTTATTATATATTGAATAAATAAGTTATTTTATAACATTTTTTTGAAAAATGTAATTATAGATAGAGTAACATTTTTTATTTCAATATTATTCTTTTCAATTGTTCTCAAAATCAAAGTTTCATATTGAGTAAAAAGCTATCACATAGGTTATTTTGCAAGATTTTTTTTTTGAAAAATGTTACTATAATTGTTTCTAAAGTCAAAGTCCCACATCAAGTAAAAAAAAAATATTTCTTTCATATCTAATTGTTACTCATAATTAAAGTTTTACATCGAATAAATGAATGATTAATAAAAAGTATATATAATCATATTGTTATACTTAAATAAACTTTGATATTTAATATATAATTAATAGTGACTAATTAAAAATGTCTTTAATCTTATCTTAAAGAATTCCTAGAAGTTTAGGAAGTACAAAAATATGATATTTAAATTAAAATTAATTATCATTTTATAAAGTTAACAAAAACATAACAATGTCATTAAAATGTTACAAAAATATTATTTTGATAACATTTGAAAAATGTTACTTAATTGTGTTGTAGTGAATTTATGTTATCATAATTATAATTCCTATAATTAAATTAGGATTACTATGATATATGAATTTATAAAATAATATATAATTAAAATTTATTATGAGTTTAATTGTATTAATAATGTAAAATTAATTTTACGTCATCAATCAATCATATCATTATTAGCATAATTTTTTAATTATTTATTATTAAAGCTAATAATTTTAAATAAATGATTTGTAATTAAATAACAACGTTGATCGCTTATTTTTCACATATTTGTAAAGAATTGTTAGGAATTTTTTTATAGGAAAACATAAATTAGATTGTAATTAAAGAGTAAACTTGAGCATTAAAGAGAAAAATTAGAAACATATATGTACACATCGATAAACATTTAAATTTACTCCATAGTAATTATGTGTTACTAGCATTATAAAAAGGGGTTAATCCTATCATCACTTATAAAAATAAATTATATTTTAAATTTTAAGATAACAAAATGGAATTTCTAGAAAGTAATAATATATGCCGATTCAAAAAGAGTTTTTTTTATGATGGATATTTTATATTGAGTGTAATTCATGACATAGAAAGTTACATAGTGTAAATATAGTGAAATTTTTTATGATAGATGTTGATTTATTTATTATAAAAAAAAATTTATACCAAGTAAGTCAACATTCATTTTAGAGTATGTTGAAGAGAGTTAACTTTGTAATTGATCATAACTTTTCTATGATTAGTATAATAACATTCGACATAGAAAAAACCTTTTTATGATAGGCGAAATAACACCCAACATAAAAAGTGATTTAAAACTTTAGAAAATGCAATTCATTTTTTGAACTCTAAACTCTTCTTTCTGTTTTTGTTATCTTTCTTTTTTCTTTTTTCTCCTCCTCTTTACACATTTAGATAAATTATTTTCCTCTTTGCTTTCGTTTTTCTTTTTTGCATTTTTTGTTTCTAATTTTGTTACCTTTCTCTTTTCTTTTGCTTTGATAGTGTGGTGTTTAGAAGAAAATATGGTGGTGGAAGTGACAAATATTGTGGTAGAAGTGGCAAACGCAAAACGCAGTGGTAGTGAAATGCAAAGATGCGAGAACAAGAGGGAAAAAGTATGACAACAAAATGTGAAGAGATTCGATAATAAGAGGTAAAAGCATGACAACATAATGCAAAAACATACAATGAGAGAGAAAGTGCACGATGATGGAATGCGAAAAATATGATAATAAAAAAGAAAGAACATGATGATGAAATGTAATAAATCAACACCTGTCATAAAAAATTTCACTATATGTTGACTATTTATATAACAAATTTTTTATGTTGTTGGAATTTATAATGAATTTAGAATAGACATAAAAAATCTTTTTTACCCATCATTAAAAATGTCAAAAATATAATTACTAATGCATGGAGAAATTTTACATCATTTAAAATGATTTTTTTAGATGAATTGTGGAATTTATTTGTTCCGGCCAATATAAAAAGGGGGCATTTTAACTTTAGTTCATGAACAAATGTATACAATTACTTTTTTATATTGATTTTGGCTATAACTAATGTAGAAAACCTCATTTTCTAGATCAATTATGTGTCTTAACCGATGTTGAAAATTATATCTTACACTAGTTATGGTACAACCAAAATAACGTTTGCCGTTCAAAAAAAAAAAAAAAACCAAAATAACGTGATTTTGTTTTTAAAATCATGTTCATTTGTGAAATATCTTAATCCTATAAACATTCAAAATAAACCTTTATATCAATGATACAAATATCACTACAAGAAATATTCCATATAATAACATACAAAAAGTGTCACTATATATATGTACAATATATGTAGGTATATGTTTATTTGACATTTAGTTACACACAATTTTAGTGTTGATTTTGAATGAGATTTAACAACATATTTTGTGTGTCACTATAGTTTATACTCACATTTTTTAATAATATACCAACATATATTATAATTATTGTGTGGGTAAAAATAATTTTTAGTGACATGTATAGTGTCATTATAGGATGTGTGTTACTATATAGCAATTTTGTTATATCATTATGATATTAATTCAAAAATATGAAGCAAAAATAAACACGTGAGAAGAGAGACTGAATTGTCTGTGTGATAACTTGAAAAACTTTTTGCAAAATAGGTTTACAGTTTAGCATTCGATAAAGCATTTTCTTAAAGACAAGAAAGAAAAACTTTGAACAAATTTAAATATATTGATTTACTCTTAAATAAGAGCTACTATCATTATTTACTAAATTACAAAAAATGTAATGGTCTAAACTTTTTTAATTCTACACATCACATCACATGTTAAATACATTTTTATATTAGTAAATAATTATATAATATTAAAATATTTATTGAATATTATTTATAACGATATATAAAAAGGATAGGGAGTCCTATGCTTTTTCTTAACATTTATATGTTGGGATAAAATTTCTTAAGGCAAATAGAAATTTTCCATTAATCAATATTAAGAACCGTTGTCTTAGATTACAGAGTTAATGTTAATAATACGTACATGTATCCATTGACGTTGATTAAAAGGTTGCAGCGGAATAGTCTTTTGGTGCAATGATCTTCCTCAGCCAAATCACTGGATTCCTTGATGAGACTTGATGTTACTCTTCTGATGGGGAGATAGAGAGACGTGTGTTTCTGATTTGGCATATTGGGGACCATGACTATCTTTTTTATTTTAAACCTATTAGGGTTCCCATTAACCCCTAACGGGCCAAATCTGGTTTCCACTTATATGGGCCCATATCAGTTTTTCCTATGGCAGATGATAAACACACCTCCACTCTCATATAAACACACCTCCTTTTAAAAAAAATATATATAAAATACCTAAATTACCCTTTAAAAAAATTGCTAAATTTACACCTCCTTCTCTGCACCCGTGAGACAGTATGGTCCTAGAGAATGGAATCTTGTATCTCAGCGCATGAACACGCCTCTTAACAGGGATGCAAAGTCATGCTTGGAAAGGTGGAAGAACTACCTCAAGCCTGGCATCAAGAAAGGCTGTCTAACCGAAGAAGAGCAGCGTCTTGTGATCCGGCTTCAAGCGAAACATGGCAACAAGTGGAAGAAAATCGCTGCAGAAGTTCCTGGTAGAACTGCCAAGAGGTTAGGCAAGTGGTGGGAGGTGTTCAAAGAGAAACAACAAAGGGAGAAACAAGAGATTCACAAAGCAATTGGCCCAGTTGATGACACCAAATATGATCATATACTAGAGACTTTTGCTGAGAAACTAGTGAAAGAACAACACCCTTCACAATCACCATACCTTATGGTTGCTGCATCTAATGGACCTGCATCTGCATCTGCATCTGCATCATCGGCATTGTTTCCTCCTTGGCTTTCAAATTCTAGCAGCACCAATCCCTCATCAGCAATTAGGCCACCTTCCCCTTCTGTGACACTAAGTCTCTCCTCCTCAACAGCGTGGCTACAACCCGAAAGACGACTAGGGAATGCAGCAACACCTCATGGTGGATCTGTTTCAGCCTTCGGTGATAACATGATGGTCTCAGAGTTGATAGAGTGCTGTAAGGAGTTGGAAGAAGGGTATCGTGCTTGGGTGGTGCACAGGAAGGAGGCGGCTTGGCGGTTGAGAAGGGTGGAGCTGCAGTTGGAGGCAGAGAAGGCAAGCCGAAGGAAGGAAAAGATGGATGAAATTGAGGCAAAGATTAAGGCTCTTTGGGTGGAACAGAATGCTGTTTTGGATAGAATTGAATCAGAATGCAGAGAACAGTTAGCAGGGATGAGGAGAGATGCAGAAAACAAGGAGCAGAAGTTGGCTGAGCAATGGAATGCAAAGCACATGAGGGTAGTGAAATGTATGGAGCAAGTAGGATGCAGAATGCCACAGATTGCTGAGCCTAATGGAAGATAAGATTAAAGACATCACTC